CTGGGCCTGAGTGATAAAGAGAGGAAGGAGACATGGTATTTACCCTCACAGAGCTCACGGGGCTGGGAGGCAGGAAGGGTCTAGAAACAAATAATCACAACACTAAATAGAAGGTGGAATGACACGCATAGGAAATACTGAGTAAAACGGTGAGAAATTGCTGCCGCTGAATATCAGCAGTTTCGCTCGGTTCTGAGTAATCTCATTAGAGCCAATGAAGGGAGGAGTTGGGGTGGGGAACACGAGCTTCTCCCTGGATGGACAAGCATCCCCTGGGCTGCCCACTGCGGAAGAAACCCAGCTGTGCCTACGGCCACACGAGCCAGATGCAATTACTACCTCGATCCACGCGTGGTCTGCCAAAGTGCCTTCCGAGGGGTCAGCTCAGGGAACCTTCACCACTCTGTCCTCTCTTCACTACCCTGCGCCTCCAGCTTCAGGGAGAGCCAGTCCCCAGGCTGACGCGTCCTGAAGTGCAGGCCCAGCCTCATTTCCTGGGCTGCCTCCTGTATGGACAGGCCCCTGCCCTGGCATCTCTCTCACCCTCTGCTGGGATCCCCCTGGAACGTAAGCGTATTCAGACTTGCACCAGAATCCCCAGGAGGGCTTATTGAACCCATGTGACCAGGTTCCACCCCATAGTTTCTGATCCAGTAGGTGTGTGTGGGGCCCGAGAATGTGCATTTCTAATAGGATCCCAGGTGGTGCCTGTGCCACTGGTCCAGACTTTGAGAACCATGGCTGAAGTCTGTCCCATTTTTAAAACCAAAAGCAAAACAGGAGAGGAGGCAAAACCTTCCAGCTCGTCCTGTCTGGCCAACCTCCTTGGCCCTTCACCCCATGGACATTTCCGCGCACGCTCTGGCTTCTTTCCTCAACCCTGTGCCACTCACTCTATCCCCTGAAGCTCCCTGGCTGGGCCACACCATGTTAGGGGACCCAGCTGCCAGCTCCAGCGTCTGCTTCAGGTGGAACCTGTTGGCCTCAGTGACGGTTGGCTTCACGTGTCCCCTCGGCAGGGCCACAGTGCCGATATCTGGTCAACACTATTCTAGATGTCGCCATGATGGTATTTTTTTAGATAAGATTAACACTTAAATCAGTAGACTTTGAGTTAAGCAGATTGCCCTCCACAATACGGGTGAGCCTCGTCCGATCTGTTGAAGGCCTTAAGAGAAAGAGCCCGCGGGTGGCCTTCGATGCACACCTGCAGCATGGGCTCCAGCCTGAGGCCCCCGCACACCTCACACCTGCCAGCTCCCTCAGCCCAGTGAGCCAGTTCCTTAAACTACATCTCTCTGTCTGCCAAGCCTTTGCTGCCTCCTTAAGTGATGGCACAAATGGCGCTCTTTCCGTAAAAATCACTTAGTATTTGCCTAAAGAATAACAATCGTAACAATGCCACCCGACAGTTATTGAGCCTTCAGTATATTCCAGGTACTTTACGTGACGTGAACTGGTTTAATCTTTACAGCAACTTAGGGGACGGCACTATTTTTACCCTGTTTTACAGGATAAGGCACAGAGAAGTGCAGTAACTTGTCCAAGGTCACACAGCTGGTAAGTGGCATGGCACAAAATTCAAGCTCAGATGCATACAGACACAGACCTAGAAACCAAATGTCTTCTTCAGGGACACTGTGGTCTCGATTGAAATGTCACCCACAAAGTTCCCTACAGGTAAACACAGGACACTGAGATAAGTCCCAAACCCAGCAGTGCCATGTGTCCCAAGAGACAGGCTTCCTTTGCTGGCTCCCTGGCGCCTCTCCCAGAAAGGTGAAGCGGGAGTGCTCATCTGTCACACACCAGAGGCGCCCCGGGAGGAGGGCAGGCTGTAATGTCACACCTGGATACCAGCGTGTCCCCTTAGCAACCATCCCGGCAGATCAGCCACAAGGGAGGTGAGGAGTAGGAGCTGGAAGGCAGGCAGCTCAGGCTCCGGGAGAGCCGCCCTCCCGGGGCAGTGGAGCAGGGCTGCAGGGAGGCGGACGCAGCCATGGAGAGCGGTGGGGACGCAGCTGGCCGGGGCCACAGAAGGGCAGGCACAGGTATTTATTTCCTGCATGACTTCAGCTCAGATCAAGGGCGGAGAGCAAAGAAGTGGAGGCTTGAAAACGACCGTCTGAAGAAACTCAAGACGCGTCCTGAGCTGGGCGTGTCTGGTGGGTATAACATCTAGCGTGACAGAAGGACATACAGGACATGCAGCCCCCCGCCCAAAGTGCTCGGGAACTCCTGGAAACACACCCACACCTGCGACTCCTGACAACCAGCGCGGGTGGCCCAGGCCCTCGGGGCCTTGTGATCCCCCAGGGCAAGCGCCGGCAGTGTCACGTGACCGCGGTTCCTGGACCAGGAGCCCCTGCAGCTGCCTGGGGAGCCACAAGCCACAGCAGC